GTAGACTTCGTGGCATTCATTTATCAAAATCTTCACATTAATAGGACCAAATTCTCGTCATGAAATTTCGTAATAGATCCAATTAATTTATCAAAACAAAGTGACATTGGCCTAAATGTCTGGTGTATAAAGGCTCAATTGCATAATCCGGTTTTCGGTGTCGATGATCGATTATACAGGCCGTTGGACGGTCGATCTGCCGATAACTGGTCGGACAACTGTTTAACATGTATTTGATTTTTGGCTTATAATCGTTGTAACGTCAACACGGTTTATTGGATTTTTAATCGATAATCGTGTGCAAATAGGACTCACGGATATATTTATATATATTATATATATTATATTCACGAGCGAGCTATAATTACACAGTCGTTCGTGTTTAATGAAATACAGAGGAATTGGTGATATTGTGCAATAATTCACGGACACCGATGTTAACAGGAAGAGAAACGTTTGAAGTTTTGAACGCGTTCTGCTCGATATTTTGTGAAGTTTATTTGGTACAAATAAAGAAAACGGATATACGAAAGGAAATTATTGCAATTTGATATCGTTTAGCAATTTTTAAATGATGAGGTAATTACAATAAAATATTGTTAATAAAATATTATTAATTTTTTATTAATTCATACAAAATTATATATATATATATATTGAAATTTTTGGATTAAAAAAATTTGTATTTAGAAATGGATATTTTTTTTCTTTTTAATTAAAGTGATTTCTATTTTTCCTATTTATTTATTAATTTATTTTTTACACAAGAGAAAATATTTGAAGAAATAATTGTTCTCTTTAAAAATGTTATCAATTTAGATCATAATAGTCTTTTTAACAATTAGAAAACGTATTAATAATGTCCAAGCTTAGTAATATTTAAGATTTATATTTCTACGATTAATGTTTTAACATTGCATACAGTTTCAATTTATTACTCTTTTTTTTCTTTTTTCTTTTTTTTTTTTTAAGTTATTCGTTTAAATTCCAATTATTTGTTTTTACTTTAAAATTAAATAAATTAAGGAAAGTTACGATACAAATTGCTACAATTTGTTCATAGAAAAAGAAAAGAAAGTAATGCATATAATTCACTGCATTCCTGATTTCACTGCATTCGATTGGAAAAACATGTCTCAGAGAACATAAAATTATACGAGAAATAAATTAAAAGTAAAAGAAATTAATAAGTGAAATTGTAAATAACAAATAAGTTAAATGGGTCGAAACTATGATATTTATGTGATAAAAATTATAAAAATTAAATTATTTATCACAAGTTACTTTTTTATAACTTAATTTTCAATATTTTTGTTATTAATTTAATCATTTCACGACCACTACATTCATGTTTTAATATATATAATTTTCATTTTTTTTTCAACATTTATCTAAAAGATGAGAGAAAGAATAAGAAAACTTTTTATTCCTTAAGTAAACTTTATTAAAATGCGTAGAACGTGTTCGACTATCTCCATCTTTAAAAGCAGTATGTAATTACAAACTAATTAAGTTAAAAGATAAACCGTGGTATTGGCGAGCACTCGAGCTTCTTAACATCTAATTTGAGCATTGCGAGCGATCATCGTGATCACAACGTGTGCAAGTAATTATAAAGCAAACATCGTGGAAACGTAAGTGCAGCGTGAAAGTAAATTCGTTCCTATTAGTGGTCTATTAGAAAGCGAACATATAAATCTTTTTTTCTATAATAAATAAAGGAATTTTTCGATCTAGAATTAATTATTTATCCCATTCAATGAATTTCTTAGAATGAATATTAAATATTTGATTATATATAAAAGCAAATAAAGTAGAATTATTTATAAAATTAAATTAAATAAAAGGATAGAACGGATAATCATAAATTAACATTTATTCAAATATGTAATAACAAAAATCAATCTTGTTGTGAATATATAATTTGTGATGATTATTTGTTTAGAATTTGTTAGAATATTTACGATTATGCAAAATATTATTTATCATTACATTATTTCAGCAATTACATTATTTGATCTGTTGTTAAATGAAGATGAAACGTATTAAAAAAAAAAAACCATGCAATCCATTTGAACACATCATCGAATAACTGTAGAGACAATAATAGGTAACGAAATAAAGATGATGTTATGCTAAAGGAATTAATTTTCTAAGAAGATATAGAAGATATATCTTGAACGTAATATTTTATTTATGTTGAAAGATCTATTATTAAGTTTGAGTAGTTCTAGTGGCAAAATAATAAGAATACAAAATTAATCAACATTAAATGTCAATGGATTTGACGAAGAATTGTCGATATAATATAGATATAAGATTCGAGAAACATAATACTATATATCATTTGTCACTTCATTCTTTCACCGTTATGAAATATATAATTTTTATGGATTATTTTTTTTTTTTTTTCATTATACCAAGGTTATGCAAAACGATTTTATATAACATAAACATTCGTTCCATAATAATCATTATACTACCAGAAACAATGTTTGTAACGTTCGTTACTATCATCGATCAATTCATTACAATTAACTTTTATCGCCAAACGAGATGAAATTACATCACCGAGCATAATTACTCATTTTCTTTGCCACTGTGTCTATCAATAAATTACGTTTCTTTTTTTTTTTTTTTTTTTTCTGTTTTCTTAGTTGGATATCATTTCGTTCGGTATTTACTTCTTCTTAATATATATATATATATCTCATCACCTGAATACATTATAGTGTTAATCATTTTTCTTTCTTGTAACAGATAATTTTTCAACAGATATTTATTATCTGTTGACTGTTCATGGATTATTTATCTATCTATAGAGTATTACTTACTTGGTCCAATTTCAATCATAAATGGAATATGCATTTACATTATGATATATTATTTTTATTGTAGTTTAAATGTTAGTTCATCTGAAATCTTATATAGCAAAATTTACATTATATTTATAATAAAATAATTTATATTAATTAATTTATTGATCATCAATTGATAATTTGTTATATTAATTATAATATTAAGTATAATAATAAATTATTATATTTGTATTCACGATATTCAATTACGAGATACGTTAATATTTTTATGAAGAATAACAAAAGGAAAGTGTAATCTATTTTAAATTCTTCTTAAGATTTTAAAATCAAAATTAATTATAATAATTCACGATTCTTCATATATCTTATTTATTCGCCAAATTAAATTTAAACGAATTTTTCCAATGAAAAGATAGTCGATGGACTTTGCTAATTATGTTGTCGTGTTGACTGCTAGACGACATGCGAATATACATTACTGTCATCTGAAATAATTTTTTATTCTTGACATTATTACGATAGCAATTGTCTCAAGAGTGTAACGAATCTTTTATGTCAACCTTCTATTACGCCATGTGACATTTACATATCTATCCATAAATATATATCAATGCTCCTCTAATCTATATCTCTATCTATATTTTTTAAGCCTATAATACTCGGTATCATTTCATGACACATTACGTATTTCACATCATTATCATGCTATTGCATATTAAAATCTTTTAATTTGCAAAAATTTATTATCAACATTTATAAAAAACATTTATAAACAACTTGCAATTTATTAATTATGATTTTATATTCTTATCTTATGATCAATGTTCCTCATTCCAGATAAAAATTTGAAAAATCCTTTTCTCAATAGAAAGGAAACATTGATCTCCATCGATTTTTCGAATATCAGCAGATTTTTTTTTTTTTTTCGAATCTTCGACGTACATCATTGCACCAAGAAGGAGAAGAGAAGAAAAAGAAGAAAAAAAAAAAGATAAGAAATAATTGAATTTGCATGGAAGAATAAGTCTGAAGCCATTTAAAACAAAACAACAACGTCCACCAGAGAAGACCCTGCAAACACTTTTGATCAGAGACTTCGATATACTCCTCCATAAAATTTCGCACACAATCTCTATAATATTTTCTTCGATTATACGTATTTTCGATCAATTCTATCGATTAACATTCCGCACATTTAATAATCTTAATAAACTTGAAATATATCATTAAAAAAAAATATAATCATTTTACAACAACTTTCGGTTTCTAGTTTTTCGAATCATTATCAAAAAATTTTTTATATTATTGGTTGATTTCCTACCATTGATTTCTGCCTACACTCGTTTCCACTCGTAACAACGTAAATAACTGCTTATCAGCTATATATATCAGGACGGCTAGCAACC